TCATCATAAAAATCCATGACAGAGGGTAGCCAGGATTTTTCAAAGGGCGGGTCACACTGTGTCAAGGTAAAAGTACTCATCAGATTGCCATGTCATTTTTGCCACCTGTTGTAGGTTGTTTGCTTAAAAAGGCTTACAAAAGAGAGGGTTATGGGTACCCCAGGACCCCCCTAGCTACGCCCCTGCATTAAGAGCAACTCAAGCTATGTATGCTTTAAACTTCATATTAAGTAAGTTACTTAAGTATTTGTCAGCTCAATAATTTTGTTCTTCATTCTAGAATCGGCGCCTTGGACCAGGCTCGTATAACATTGATGTGGGAGGATTCAACCCCAAGTCTGTGTCCGAGAGATCTTCTGGCCCTGGTATAGATGTCTCTCTTTTCACATCTTCTCCCGAGTCAGCTTTTATCATTCTATATACTTAAGCAATTTATTGAAAATTATTTGCTAATTGGTATACAATGTATGTTCTTGTGGGCATCTACATGTTGGTTGAAACTAACAAAATATGTACTATAACCATTTGTAGTTCCAGAAAATATCTATACTTCCCCCGGGTAAGGGATCTTTTTCAAGACCCCCCACCTGTCAGGAAATCCCAATTAAGCTTCATACATTTCTTTAAATTTTTTGGTCTTACAGAACCTCCCACCACCTTCCTCCCGGAAATCCCAATCCCTTCTCTGGGGGGAGTATGGATATTTTCTGGAACTGCACAATATAAGGCCCGGTCCAAACGCCGCTCCACTGACATGTGCCAAACCAAACTTGACTAAGTTCGACCTCAGAGCGACTTTGGAGCGATGGCTGGTTCAGACGGTGTACTTGCGTCGAACTTATTTCGGGAAGCCGGTGGTAACAATTTTGGACGAGAAAATATGTGTTCTGAATTCAAGAACTCTGTCCAAATAGAAAAGTTGTCATTAACATTTCACTGTTATAGCAATATTTAGGGAAGCAAATTCAAACTCAAGGTTCAGTGTTCGCATTTAGACAGGTTTTCTCCCAGTTAATTCGACCTGTTAAAGGGAAACCTCATAAGCTGGGCTATTGTCACGAAGAAAAAGCAAAAACTGAATTTGCGTTAAAGAAACTCACTTACACAGCCCTGTTTCTCATAAATCAAAGGCATGTTTTGTTTTCTTTATTTTTAGCGACGACTTCGAGCTTCATGTATGACTGGTCACGCCACTCATTTTTGAGCCAATCACAAGTCCCATTATATGGAAAATACATTACAGCAATTTATGCATTAGGTTCGACACGAGGAGAACGCCGTATGAATCAGTTGCCACTCCAACGTCACATAGTGCGACAGACCCTGCCGAATTTAATGTTGTTTGCCTTACCAAACCTAACCTGCTGAACCAAATTGATTCAAACGGCGCTCTTCTGCCGTACTTAACTCATCAGTTAGGTTCGGCACATGAATGGAGCAGCATTTGGAACAGGCCTTAGTAACATACCAGCAGTGTATTTTGTCTGAAAAGGTATTCTGACTAATTTTACAAATATGACATTAATGTTTGTTGCTGTTTCTTCTGTCAAATTATTTGTATCAGACAGAGGAAGTTACATTAAATATTGAGGTCAACATAATACTCTGAAACATTAATTACATTGCATGTGTATATTACTGCACAATTAATAAATTTTATTATTAGTTGACTAAGATGGTTAATGCTGTTCTCATTCTGAGCTGCAATAATTTTAATTTTCTTTCTTTTAAAGTATTTAAGTAAACAAGACAAATGAATATTACTTGGCTTGCATCTTATGCCTGTAGAGTGTATAAATTACTAGCTGCTAATTATTTTTTTGTACTCTCAATGCTGTGAATGGCAGGATGGGAAAGGGCTTTTGAAACAGCTCGCCTAGCAAAGATACCTCATCTGTTATACAAAGAACAATGGGAGAAGAAGCAGCTTCAGGTAAGGTTAAAGACGTTGAGGTATAAAATCTCCACGCTAGATGGATTATATATTATTTTCGGTGGACAAGCTACTGTTAGTTCCTTGACAAGTGTTGAACATGCTTGGGTCATTTAAATGTAGATCACTTAAGATGTAAGGGTCAAATTGCTACATATATACATGTATTATATGTTAACTAATTTTGTTAAAATATTAATGCACTGAAAGTATTGTACTTTCTTGACTGTTTAACTTGATAAACTTACTACCTTTATGGATAAGATTTAAATCATATCTTGTTGGTAATGATTTTTCTTCTTTCTCTATTTAGTTAGTGCAAAAGCATAGCTGCACTGTATTTTAAACTAGTGGATAACAATATTATGCCAAAACATCATTATAATTCAGATGAAGATATTTTGACTTACTTAATACCTAAGATATACATTTTTTTCATGATGAATATTTTTGGTCATGTCTGATCTCACGTGAATAATCACTTTAACTATGCAGTGTGTGTTTCAATTTTGTTATTTTTTTCTTTGGTAAAACAGAAGCAGCTGCTTGGTCCTGGGACATACAATATCAATGATTTTATTGATCAGATGGCAAAAAAGCCTGGCAGCACAAGAGGTGTATGTGAGACCAGAGAAGCCAGATTTGACACCACAAAAATGGTTTGTGACAAAATAATGTTGCTTTCATGTGCATGTGGCTAGCTACAAATGTACATGTATGATCCGTTACATTAAATATACAAGATAATAATGGCAAAGAACTTCATTTAAAAAGGTCAAAAATCCTACCATACAATCATGCATGTTATAGTGGACAAGTACAGTCACAGGATGTTCAAGCCCTAAACGTTGTCACAATCAGTGTTTGTTTTTAAACTTGCCATGCTTTACAGTCAAGATCAACTTTTTCTACAAATGTGCATGTCCGTACTCAGACATAATTTTTTGACACTTACTGTCCCCCCAATTTATTGTTTCTGTAATCTGCAATATCATCATTCATGCCTTTAGTCTACTTGTAGGCTTAAACAGGTTTTAAAAGCAAAGAGGTGCAAAATCAAACTTACCCAAAATATTCTAGATGCATTGTTCATGCAGATGTGTTGACATGTTAGGCATTGGAAACTGTTATATAATAATTTTGATCACCTTTTTCTGTATGAATTTAACTATATAACTTATAAGATCATCGACTGACAAACACTATTCACTTGACTCTGAAGATGACTTCCGCTCAGGTTGTTGATACGTCAGTCACCAACAACAGTTCTTTTCAGAACTACACTCACCCGGACGATCACACTATACGAACTACTGAATTTAACTATTATCTATATCAGGGTTGTTCTTTGATCACTTATGAAACTTATGCTTGCATAGGTACATGTAAAGTCTACAGGTGCAAAATCATAAAGTGCAGTAAAGTCATTGTTAAAGTCTTAGCATGAAGCGACTTGGAGTATTTATTTATTTTGCTTGAACCTGTAAATCTTGCAGAGTCAAGTACCAGGACCGGGGACTTATGGACAAGGAGGAATACCAAGTGCTGTGGTCGAAGAAAAGGAAAGAAAATCAATCAGCAATGTGGGGATGCTAGATTCTGGAAAGTCTTACAAAAGACAGCTTCCTGAAGTGGTACATATGTTTATTTATTATCCTAGTTATTAAAAACCTTAGTTAGAAATATGTTCAGCCGGCATCCAAAAGTCCATCCATGTTAAAGTTTTCCAACGTAGTAGTGATCCGAGAAAACTGCAAACAGCACAATGACACTCGTCCAAAAGCTTAAAAGCTTACTATTGATTTTCAAGTTACAATTTAATTGTCTTTGCTTACTTCACTTTGTCTTTGCTTACTCCACTAGTCTAGCGGGAAAAAAAAGCGATATTATTTTTACCTTTTGAGCTGAAAGGACCAATGCCTCATCAGACCTTGTGGTACGATTAAGTATGGATAGTCTCTTTACTAGGTATACGACGATTTTCGACATGTAACACTTCTGCCATATTCCGCCATCTTGCCATTAACACGCGGCCAGGCCTGGGGGAGATACAAATCATATCCCCACCAGGGGACCCGGCGGGAGCATACAAAAAATAAACAGCTGGTGAGACTTTGTGACACTTCGAACATATTTTAATCTTTTTACTTCTGTCTTGTAAATTTTAACAGGGAAGTCATCTTTGTCCAGGGCAGTATGAGATGAAAAGCTTTACAGACGAGCTGGAAGCCAGAGTCGTAAGCAAAAGAGGACCTTATGATCTCTTTACTGGAGAAAGGAACAAACCTATATCAGTGGGATACTTTGCTTTACCGGTGAGAGTTGAGCCCGCGGTTTGCAATGGTCGTATTGCTAAGTAACAACGTTTGTTATGCCTTGCCTGGAGAGTGGGGAGGGGTGCATGGAATAGCATATAGGGTTTCTAGCAAAACTGTTACTGCTTAACTGTTGTATTGTTAGTGGACATATGGGGTCTTTAACCAGGGGGAGTGGGGTTTATGACCACGACTTAAAGCTCCGCTTTGTTTCGTTTTTTTTTTTCCCACAGGCGAAGCAAAACCTTGGTCCCGGGGAATATGACTTGAAATCATTTTTACACGAACTCCAAGGTAGGTTACATGTACATGTATCAACTCTTCTTAGCACATGATATTAAGGTTGTCATGCGAGGCTTACTCCCTTAAAAAGCGTTACGTCACCCCCCAAAGTAACTACTAAAAAGGCCGACTTAAAAGAAATATTTTCAAAGGAGAAAGGCTTTGTTGTTTCAGAGCGCTTGAAAACGAGGACGAAAAACTCTGCCGGTTTATTACTCGATGATAGTACTCGCATAACTGGCTTTTTAAAGGGCGTTTTTATAAATGGTGCCTTTTTATATTGAAAGTAGATTTGTTGTAAGAGCAATACCGTCCAGAGTATATCAATTCCATTCCGTCTACAAACTCAGAACCATTCAATCAACCAATAGGAACGGAACGAGAATCTTGTAACCATCGTCAGACGCAAAAACGGAAACTACGATTGATTTTCGTTCCGGCTTCCAATTGGTTGGAAAAAAATGGCTGTGTTCTCTGATTGGTCAGCGTGCAGTGCACGTGATTTTCCTCCAACCAATTACAAATTGCTCTTGACACTCTACTAAAAGCGCTCTGTGTTAACTCTGTTTTCCGTAGACAAGCACAAAAAACACCACGGAGCCTTCTTGAAGGTGCAACGTTTCCCACCTTATCCAACCAATAGGATCTACTGTTCTACGCTGAGTCAGTATCCTAGAGACCCGGTAAGACAGGCTAGTTATTATTTATTTTTTCCTAAGCTGTATTTGGCCACAGGAGGTCTAAGCTCGCTATGAGGACCATAAGAGAACGTGACTCTTGGATATAACAAGTACTGCGTTACAAACAAATGTAGACTCGTTTATGAAAGTTTGAATGAGAAGGCACTGAACTGTCAGTAAGTCTCTGGTGGTGGAAACCCCAAATAACGATTTCCCGCCGAAATCGCTTCAGACCAGCATGAACTGAGTCAATAAACAACAAAAAATAAAGCACAGTGACAGGTTAAGTCAGTTGTACCGGCAAAGTAACAGACACAAACAGCAACAACAACAACGACAAAACCCCAAGTTATACAATGTGCCAACAAGCCGGTTCCGTCACCATCCGCAAAACCTTCGATTCTTTATGGCACTGGCAACGCGTCTTATAAACGAGAGGCAGTGTTTCAAAGTGTTCCTGTTTTCTTATAATGAACTTGGGTGAGGTACTCAATTGGCCACGGGTTCATGAATCGTTTAATAAGTGAAGCCTGAGCCATTGTAAGCAATCTTTAGTTAAAAACGTAAAGCATGTTGAAATTTTATAACGAAAAAACTTATTTTTTCTCTTCTACAGAGCGACCCCGGACCAGGTAGTTATTCTCCTCAAGATCTGACCAAACCTGAGGCTTCCCTGAGACCACCCTTTGGTTCAACCGCTGAACGTTTCGACCGTCATGCTAGGAGATTTTTCCTTGGAAGCACGGTAGGTCATACTTACACTCCCTACGTCAAGATTATGCAGCGCAATGCTCTATTATAAAGATAGACGCTTTGATATCGGATTGTAAGGTTATTTTAGCGAGGAGCTCATAAAAAAATTCTAGGTCATATATGACCAGTTATGGTTGCCAGTTTTGCAGAGATGTTACAGAAGTGTCTAATGATAGACAAAGCTGCATTTGGCCGAATTACATAATTTTGTGCTGTAGTTCTTTTACGTTTGTAAGAAAATCGTGTTTCTAGCCTTTGCATTTCTTGGCAACATTTACCACACAACTTAAAATCGACTAAACTTAAGTATACCACTGTGAACTTCCATTCACAGAATCCTGTTGGACCTGGACGATACGACGTCGATCGTTATGGCAAAGCACAGCACGCCAATGGACACAGCAGTGCCTTCAATTCCAAGACCAAGAGATATGATCTAATTCGGGACAAGTACTTAACGTAAGTCGACCACCCTTCCCAAATAAAAGACAAGTGCAATTAGGCTTATGCCAGTGGTAGATTAATTATAGAGTCTGGAGGTACACCCCTATTTCCTTATCCCTCTATGCCTGAACAACAGGTCTTTATCCATTTGATACCCAGCGGCCATTCTGCATCATGTAATGAAGCGCGACAGAAGTACAGTGTAGTCATTATTTATATACTTCTGCAAGAGAGCATGAAGAGTAAGAGTGTCAATCCCTCACATAGGGCTTATTACCAATGTTATCCCTCTCAAGTTATTTTTAGACATGGTGTCCAGTTCTTGCGTGGATAATCTTTCCATGCGCGTTGCGCGGATGAAAATGCGTGTAAAGCCGTTTGGGCTGTCCATGTGATCAAAATTCGCGTCACAGGATTGGCCATTTTTTAGACCCTCCTGGGATTTCCTAAATTGGGAGTGATCTAAAAATAACTCAAGAGGGATTACCTTGGGTATAAAGTCTATATGGAGGATTAACTGTCTTACTCTTCATGCTCTCTTGACTTCTACAAGTGATTGTAACAAACAGTCTTTTTTTTTTTCTTTTCACAGGGAAAGAATCAAACCTCGAGAAGTGGACAAAGTTTTTATGGTCCCCATTGACGCACAGTAAACGATCACTGAAGCGAGCAAGTGCGCTAATAAATGCAATTCTAGCACTACTTATCAATTGCGAATTAAAATTTCCTCACGGTGAAATTAAAAGAAAAATACGGTGAATCTTTTGGTGAGAAAATTCACGTGGAACACCAGTTTTATTTGTATGTTTGGAAGTACAATTTGTATTTCACTTCAAACGATCAGGAAAGGACTTCATCTGCCTTAAAAGAAAAATACAATGCATCTATTACTGAGTTATTTTTATATATCTAGAATCACAATCTGTAGTTCGTTTCAATCAATCAGGACAGAACTTCATCTGCAGAACTAAAACGAAACACAGTCAATGGTCAGCGATATTTTTTCGGTCACTGTTGCATATTTGCAGGGTTATATGACGTGTTCGTTAATGAAAAATGCACTTTATATCTTCTTTCATCCCGGCCTTTTTTTTTATCAAAAATAGACAGTTTATCTGTGATCGACGATTCAAAGCTTTATTTTCCTGTTTAAAATTGACGTTATCAACTCCAAGACATTTTAATGAAACAGAGAATTATTTTCTTATGTTATCAAAATAATATGGTGCCGTTGTTGGTCTTCAACAATATTCTTTTGTATAATATTCATTCCAGTCAGAGGTGGATAATCTTTCACAGACTGAAATTTGAAGACAATTATTTTGAACAGTTTTCCGGCTGGGGGTGTTTTTCTGTTAATGATTAAGGCACCAAATTGTAAACGAGTGAACTCACTCACTCCTTTATGAATAAAGTATTTTTTCTTTACAGTTGTGTTGCGTTATTTGTGTGCATAGATGGCCCGGACATAAGCTAGAGCCAACCGAGTAAACGTTCCCAGTTTTAAATATGGCGACTTTAAATTAAAGTCTTCAAGGAGTTCAGTCACGGTATTTTGGGTTATTTTGACCTCGCACAAAATCATCTTTACTGAAATTAAAGGAAACCTGAAAATAGTAGCTTACTTACATAGAAAAACACCAAAGAGATATTAATAAACCGTAAAGAAACAAGTGTGGAGAAGATTAACGGGGAATACAAACGACGAAATTGAAAATTTTTAAACTTTTCCTTTATAGCACTATACACAACTTAAATCTGCGTATAAGAACCTCAATTTCCAAGTTAAACCAAAAGCTGAGGCTCTTATAAATTAGGTAACAACTGAGAATGAATGCCACTTAAAATTAACAGTCTTCATCAGACGGGTATAGACCAATTTCGATGTATTAAAATTCAGCATAAAAGAACAGACTTCAGAACGAGGCTCCGGGGAATAAGCCCCACAAACTGTAGTTATTCCCCAGAGCCTCGTGCTGAGGTCTATTGTAATTGTTTTAGGCATATCCAGTGGCACTTTCGATTCGCGAAGGTTCCCGACAGTCCCTGTCGGTCGGCAGGCCTCATGATCGACAGATTTTTAGACCAAGATTTTCTCTGATTCGACGCATTCATAAGTATAGCTATTTTAATAGGATTGTCGATATGTGGAATATGCTGCCACTGTCAATTCGTCATGCTTCTAGCATCTCTGGTTTTAAAAGCGGAGTAAGGGATTATTTAATTTCAAGAAATGTTTAATTCAATTAAGCTGTTTTAGAATTTTTTTCCCCTTTTTTTTTTCTTTTATCAGGTGGTCTGCCAGGCATGAGGAGTCTCCTTTGCTGACCATCCTTATGGCCATTTTACTCTTTTATTGCCTGTATTTTCCATGTTATCTTCGCCATTAAATTGTAATAAATAAATGATATTATTCCTTGCTTATTTTAAGGTCGATATTCACTTTTCTTTTAAACGGGTCAATGCTCTGAACATTACATAAGGCCCCAAGGGAGGCAGTACGTTGACCTTCTGCACTAGTACCGCATGTTAAAGAAAGGTAAAAACAAAGCTTTTTAAAACTGAAAATTCAGAAATCTAAAATAAATTTAACAGAAACATTCTGGCTGAACCGATGTCTGTCAATGGCCGTAGACGAGAATTAAATCGCGGAAATTTTAATGGATGATCAGGCAATGATAAGTTCCGTCTCGTTTGAATGAGAAACTATTATCCTCCAAGCAAATGCAGATTTTATTAAGTCTGGTAAATAACACTGTTGCTCTTTGCTTAAAGTAACGTGCCAAGCCCACAGCAATTCAATTGTCTGCGTCTGAAGAATTCGTAGGCGAGCCTCGCTCACATTTAGCAGGATCAGTTTTTCTCCGTTTCGAATCCGTTTTTTTCACCAGTCTCGGTAAGTAGAAGTGCGTTTTACTAGTAAACACTGGGAGCAACTACACAATACAGGGCCGCTATTGAAGGCGCATATATTTAGTGGTTCGTTTGTCTCGGCAGTGGATGAAAGAACAAGGAATGATCTATATATGCGTGAAGTCCTAGGTCTATATATTTAGTTTCTCGTTCGGCTCGGCAGTGGATGAAAGACCGAGGAATAATCTATATATGCGTTAGGTCCTAGGTCTATATATTTAGTGGCTCGTTTGGCTCGGCAGTGGATGAAAGAGCGAGGAATAATCTATATGTGCGTTAGATAGGTCATAGGTCTATATATTTAGTGGCTTGTTTGGCTCATTTGGCTCGGCAATGGATGACAAAGGAGTCAACGAGCCAAACGAGCCAGCTCGGTTGGTAGATTATTAAAAGTCGCCCTGCATCCTGTAGAAGAAATGCTAGCTATGTATGGCTTTTTGTTTCAGATGGCTTTGCACGCGCGCATGAATAATCGCACAGAAGTTTGAAAAATTAACGAATAGCTTTTGGTGCAAATCATTAATAGTGGACAACTATCGAGAACGCCCAACTGCGTGTCTGAGCCATTATAAGTCACACAAATCCTGGCGGAATTTTGCAAGGGCGCTGACTTTACTTCAGATATTTTCGATTCGTTTTTTCGTTAGCCGAAATTTCTAACACGCCACAGTATGTATTGTCTGTATTTGGTCCCGCCTTGTGAAGTAAAAAGACTTTAACTTACATGAGGTAGGTTATATTCAACCAGCTCGAGATAACTCACTCATAGAAATCGAGAACAAATAGTCTAATTGTCTTAGTATAAATCTACTAGTGGTTCAAAACTTTATCTAAATCCTCTTTACAGAAACGCCAAGAAGCAGCCGACATTTTGTAAACAACCGCACACTGCTAAGTTACTTAGGCCTCAGTCATATGGTGTCAGGTACCCAAGAAAACCCTCCTCTTGAGGCAACTTTATCGAGCTTTAATATGTGAAAACATCGTCCCTGTAGGCCGAGTCAAAGTTGACCCTACATGCATTATTCGTAGACCTTATTGAATAATCAAATGGATAGATATGCCTCCTTGCGTTTTCTTCGGTCATTTGATCACAGTGGGTTTTGCCGAGTTAATTTTCACTTCTTTGAAATTTCTGCGTTAAATCCTAAATCTTGGCATTACGTGACACTTGCCACGTCGAGAGTTGTCCCAGGTCAGTGAGCCAAAGTGTTTATATGAAGAAAAGTACTGTTGTCCCGCCTGCCAGGGTTACCCTACCTGCCGAGGCGAGACGACTCGCCCACCCGAGTTGTCTCGCCCCTCCCTCCCCGACCAATCAGATGCGAGGTAAAACCGCAAAGAAAGCAAACAAATTAACGGTGTCTCCATCAGTCACGAAACCGCACTTCGATCGTTTCTCCTTCCAAAACATGGCGGTTACCCTGCCAGGGTCGGATCCAGGATTTTTGTTGGGAGGGGGTGCACCACTAAGGAATAGCGTTATTATTTTTTTTGCAGAACACTAGAAAGCCACATGTCATCTCAGGGGAGGGGGGTGCGCACCCCCTGCACCCTCCCCCTAGATCCGCCCCTGCCTGTAGTTTTATAATTACTAACTTAACCTATTCTACTTCTGCCAGCAAACTGGAAATTCGAGCGACTGCTCAAACTTGTACGTGCTGACTTGCACCCTAGGGCTACCAAACCAGACAGCTCTTCAATATTCAACTTCATCCGTTGCTATATTTGCTGATAAAAATTGTAAAGTACCCTGATAGCTCCAAACTAAAAAGATCAATTTCCACTGAAAGTGAGAAGGTTTGGAAAAAAACGAGGGTCAGAAGCAAAATAAATAAAGAGGAGAATATTCTTTTTTTTTGTAAACAACATACAACTAAATGCAATAACGCGCGATACCGAACATACGTGAGATTTTCCTAAATTAAAATTTAAAGATTACCTTACTGTGTACCAGAATTATGGGTTTCATTAAATAAACCGATACGTTTGGTAAAAAAAAAAGAAGCGTACAATGAGAGTACCAGGGGAAAGAAAACAATATTCAAGGATTTCGCGAAAATACCGCACGGAGAAACTGAAGTTTGGAAGACGCCTGCGACAAGCACAATCGAATTTATGCACGTTACGCATTTTCTAACGACTTCGCGAAATTTTAGGGCAAGACCGGCACATTAAGATACGATGTCCTTTCATAACTGTCGCTTCAGTTGAAACATAATCAGAGGGACATGCGCAGACACAGACACAGACCTAAGGGTTACTCCGTTCAAATCTGATTCGCGGACAATGACAATGAGCATTCTGCGCATGCTCACCTTTGTGCTGACCATATAAACCGTGGTCTCTGACAACGAGAGGGACAATGCATTAACTTGCTTTGTTTTATGACACATTTTTTTTCACAGAACCTGTGCTATGGCTGGTTTTAAAGAAAACGTTTGTGTCCGTTGTTGCTCTGCTCTCGGGCGCAAACTGCGTCAAGAAATCCTCCTCGTCCTCATGATGATTGGCGTTGTAGTCGGTTTTATAATTGGCGTGTCAGTCAACGGCTCTGTGAATGCCATCGAAAATCCACAGGACAAGAAGACCACACTAATGCTGATAGGATTCCCTGGCGAACTTTTCATAAACATGCTCAAGATGTTGGTTCTGCCTTTGATAGTGGCCAGTCTTGTTTGCGCCCTTGCTGGGATTGATGCCAAAGCCAGTGGGCGAATCGGCCGACGAGCGGTAATTTATTACCTATGTACAACTGTCTTTGCTGTTATTTTAGGAATTCTTGTGGTCAGTATCATCAGGCCGGGTAGCCAAGCCAAACCTTCAGAAGAGAAAGACATCACTCCCTACCGCCCGTTAGATGCATTCTTAGATCTGTTAAGGTAAGCAAGAGCTTCATGACGTTCCCGTTTTTCAAGATACTCTTAGCTGGTTACACCAGTTTGACCTGCTTTCCCGGCGGCGGAGTTTGAATTTTTTTACCCTCTAATTTTCTGACCTTCGCTTGTAGTTGTCAGGTTTAAACAAACTTTGGCATTTTACGAGTGAAAATTGAAAATAAAAAGGAGGAAATAAGTTCGCTAGTAGGACCTGTTAATGTGCGCTATCGTGGAAAGCTATTTTTCAGGGTTTATTATATTCTGCACTTATAAGAGTGGTAAAACACGACATTTCTCTAACACGATTTCTTCTTCCATCTAGGAGCTGTTTCCCAGATAACATTGTGGAGGCGACATTTCGCCAGGTTTGTAAGTTAGAATTTATATATCAAACAAGAAAGACTGTGTTTGACCACATTTCCAAAAACTGAGAAGAGAGTTGAAAATACGACGACCAATCAGGGCGGAAGTATTTTATATGGAGCCAATCAGAGGCCAATCAAAGCCAGGTGACTTGTTTTACGCTGCCGTTTTCCCGCGCTTGCGCAAGCGTCTTTCGCTATTGTTCACGAAAAACAACAAATTCAGTTTCTCCTCGTATCTGTTCAGCAGTGTAAAACAACCGGGCTCTTACCAGAGGTAAAACTCGGGTTTCGCCCTCCCAGTTGTGTCGCAACTTGCCACACCAATGCAATGTTTAACTTTAATGACTCCATAGTGTTCAAGGGTGTATCAAGAGGAGCCGCCCTCTCATCCCTCATGACTGAATTGAAAGCACAGTGCAACCTGTATTAGGTGGACACTCCTTGTTAAGCGAACACAGCCCTCAAAAAGTCTAAAACCGTTTTTTTTTTCATAGTTTCTGTAAAAAAGAATCATTGTAGAGCGCAAACCTCTTGTTAAGCGGACTCTAGCGAGGTTCCCGTGGGTGTCCTTTCAACGCAGGTTTCATTGTACTTTCACTCCTTTTCCTTATTTAAAATGGGAGGGCTCACGTTTGCTCCGCTAGGTCCCTAGCCTGTGGCCCTCTCCTATCTTAGCAAGAAGGGTCCATCTTCAGGACTACCCCCTTTTTAAGCCCCTCTGGAGCTGTCACTGGACTCCTTTAATACTTTACTCATTTATGTATTCAGTGCAGTTTTGACCTTAACTTACATTTTCAGAAAAGAACGAAATACGATGAAGTCGTGTATGATAAATCGAAAGCTGCAGATGGAGACGGCTCGTATAACGTCACTGTGGATATTTCAAGTTTAAACGCTTCTCAACTGGCAGCAATGAAAATATTCAACAACGGGACCCACAATTTGACTACGGTACACAAAGCCCCCACCGGAGATGCGCCGACGGTGTTAGTACCCGCCGGATTGATGATAGACCCCAAGGGTACGTTGAATGTCATAGGATTGGTTGTATTCTCTGTGGTGTTTGGAATTTTCCTGGGGAATCTGCGCGAGTGAGGAGCGGTGATGAAGAGTTTCTTCGATGCGCTGAACGAGATTGTGATGAAGATGATAAAACTTGTGATGTGGTGAGTCTAGTGACCAGGAGAACATGCAGGTAGGCCTGTCCCAATTGTGCTCGGCAACTTTTTAGCAACGTTTGGCGTTTGGCGTTTGGAGGGACTTCTTGCGGTTCTAGCAACCTCGAGCAAGGTTTGCTTCTCTGAGCAACCTTTGAACAAAATATAGGTTTAAAACACATACCAAGCACGAAAAAGTCAAAGATTTCATAGGAAACGTCAATTTATGCGAATTGTGTAAATGTTTATCAACTCTTTGAAGTTTGGACACGTGGCCTGTCACTTGACAACCTTCGGCAAGACGTCAAATGAAACATGCGTTTTGTTCCGTTAGACTTAAGAGCATCCTTAAATTTCGCCCATATTTGCGAGCAACTCTTTAAGGCCAAGTTTTAAGCTATTTTTCTTTACCGATGTTAGCAATAAATGTAAAGAACGAAATATAAAACTTTTAATCAACGTTTATATAAAAATATCAAGAAATTTAGATAGCAAGTTTTGAAAGTTAGGTAGCAACTTTTCGAATTTTTGGCATTTTTTAGCAAGTTTTTGCTTTTTGCTTTCCAATGAACAACTTTCCAGCATTTTACGAGCACAATCGGACAGACCTACATTGAGGAGCTCTTGGCCAATTCGTTTAGTCGAAACAGTTTTAAAATGTAGTTAACAACTTTGTCAACATTGCTAGTGCTTAACCCTATGTGTAAACAGCTCAGCAAGCAACCGCTGTACTAACTGACCGCTTTACCAAGTCCTTGTTGTCCAATCAGAAAACAACATGCCTAGTTAGACCTGAGCTTATCACATGTTTCTTTGCGAACTTTCCAACGATTACCGCGAGTCCATGCCAGTCAACCCTTGCAGACAGATTACAATTGAATTAGCCGATGTATGCTCACGTTTGTACAATATTCATTGTGATGAGAGCGTCTGTTTGCCTGTAGCGGTAATTTTCGCTGCGCATGCTCCTCACTGGTCTGGATCCATGCCTTCTTGGAGTAATGGTTTTGCTGGGGATAAGGGAGTGGTGAGGTGAGGGAGTGGTGGACTGGGGACAGTTATCGATATTTTTTTTTATACCGGTATTTCAAGTGTAGCAAAATAATGTTTCTCGCTTTATTTCAGGTTCTCCCCCATTGGAATTTGCAGTCTGATCGCAGCCAAAATCGCCTCAGTGGACAACATCCTGAACTCGTTTCGCCTTCTTGGCATGTACACGCTGACCGTGATCTGCGGGCTCGGCATCCACCTGCTTGTCGTTCTTCCGCTCATTTACTTT